AAACGTGATTTATAATAACCACTCTTTTACAGGGGACATTCGAGGGTCATCAATTACCAACGATCGCTTCATCTCGTTCCTATCATTAATTGAGGCTGGAAGGACAATTTGAGATTTTTAACGATATCTAATACGAGAGTTGCAATTCAACTTTGATAACTTTTATAGATTGGAGGTCTAGTCGTAGACATACTACAATTTCTTTTAAGAAATTTACTCAGCAGAGAGTTAAAATTCTCTATTACGTGAACATCTGAAGTTTCAGGGATCACAAGACAAAGGACAATCCGTTCCTCTCAACTTGATAAGTCGACCTGGATGGTGCCAAGACGATTTACTGACCCGGGACACCCACGATTGGTCAATGATACCTCGGTGCATGATTTACGACACCACAACTGATCCTCTTTTTTTTTTTTTTTACGAGGGACATACAAGACGACCAATTGCCAAAGGCCTCCGATTCGATCACGCGAGATAATTGATGATTGACCACAAATCGACCCCGTAAGTTTGGCACTTTTAATTTTATTAATTAATTTTTCCTTAGATATTCCCAACAGCGAGATACGAGGTGGGATATCGAGGATGGATCTTCATCGGCAGGAATATTGAAAACGGAACAAAGAGTGATAGAGCCGTCCGAGACTTCCGATACTCCGGGGGCACTTTTCGGCACTTTTAATTTTATTAATTAATTTTTCATTTGATATTTCCACGAGAGAGATACGAGGTGGGATATCGAGGATGGATCTTCATCGGCAGGAATATTGAAAACGGAACAAAGAGTGATAGAGCCGTCCGGGACTTCCGATACTCCGGGGGCGTGAGATATGGGCGTTATGGTAATCGATTCCGCGATCTATCGCGCCCCCGGGGCAAATCGATCTCCCGTTCGATTCCAATTGAGTTGCCTAGTTATCGAACTGGCAGATGCGGGTACTTGATTTCTCCTCTCGTTTCCTTGTTACAGCAAAGGAAGTCTTAACTCGCGAGTTTAATGACGGAAGGGTCGAGGGCAACGATCGATCTCGATGCACTTTTCGAATCATTTCCTTATCACCATTTCTTTGCAATCGACCGCAAATTCCCTGTTACAACCCACTCTACAAATTTGGCCCCAGATTACAATATTTGAACAACACAAATTCGCAATTGACTTCTCGTGCAAATTTGTCAGGTCGATGGACGTGCTATGCACTTCTGCAGTCTGTAAATTGCATCCGTACATACATATGGATCTTTTCACGATCTTCCATACATAAGATCCTCTCAGGATTTTTTCAATCCTTCGATTAATCGTCCTGCATGCATACAGGACTTTGAAAATGGCCTCCGACTATCCCTTTAAATTTCCAAAATTGCTTTCTTTTGCGAGTGCACGTCAAGTTATTCTAAAATTGCATTTATTTTACGGATTAAATGAAAGCATTTGAGAATCGTATTGAAAATGGTGCCAAGTGGTTTAATTTCGTTTCGTGCCATTTGTTTAATCTCGTTAAAGAGAAATCGGATATCAGGGATTCTCCCGAGGAGCGACTCGGCATTTCTTGGCGCGGATTCTTTCGTCTCGGATGCAAATTGCAACGCGGGGATGCGCTCGAGAATGCGGGGAACGCAATGAAATTACAATTTCATGGCCGTCCCACAAAGTGGCCATCTAGGAAGGATGGGGTCACCGGCTTATCAACGGCCATGTCCAAAGTCGTATCACACATTACGTCACCGTGTCCTTAATCCCTTCAAGGATAACTAATGGCCCTCTTATGCCTTTCAGACCTCTAAAAACGATACGTCAGATTATCCCTTCCCTGCCCTAAATATCCCCGAGAAATATCAAATGAAATGCTTATATACATTTTCTATATTTCCCGATGACCAAATCTGCACGAAAAAAAAAAAAAGAATGAGCGCTATGCAATTTGCTGTCGCAAGAGAACTACGTTGCAATCGCGAATATAATTTGTGTTGTTCGGTGAAATCGTTTTTTTTTTTTATTATCAATATAACAGAAATATCTCTGGACAAACATTTGACTGGCTCATTTTCAAGTATTCACGTTTCTTGAGGCAAGCAACATTTATTGTTAGGACTGTGAATTGTTTTTTTATTTTCTGTGCGCGTGGCAACGCAATATAGACGGGAATCTGACGAGAGAATTGAGAGAAATTCGTTGGACATGACGAGGTCTTGTCCGAGAGGTGACTTGAGATTGAAAAGTCATCTCAAGCGTGACTGACTCTATCACGGCTTATCACGTCCACCCACGCTGATGATCTTTTTCCCTGGACCACGCGCAGCCTCCAGGAGGACGCAAACTCGGCCCGACTTGGTGCGACGATTCTCTTTTTCTCTCCCTCTCTCTACGTGTCGCAGCTGCGAAAGCTCGCCAATGTTAATCTCCAGGGAGATAATTTCACTTTGGAGCATTGTTCGGGATTTATACCCGCCACCGTATCGGCTCGAGTCGTTGGACCTTTTCCTTCGATCTCGTTCCTTCTCGGGACAACACGTGCACTTACATTCGAGGGATCGTCGAACGGCGACGCAAAATTTCATGACTATTTTCATTCTTTTATATTACATGGTATTTCTATTCCCAAATTTTACAGGAATTGTTCATCTGACAGATGGCTCGTGCTACGATTTTTCCAAATCTTATCATTCAACCGTGTTCACTTTTAATTCAGATATTTGATTTTAGTGAGACATTGTTGCCCGAGGAGTTGACTGTTAAAAATGTCTACAAATGTCGCAGAATTTAAACAAAGTAATAACAAAATTACAAGCATAGGACAACTTTTAAACGAGTACGCCCAACGTTTGTATGAACGAGTCTCGAGTTATACCAGAATTGTACCCATGAGTGCATTTCAAATTGAGTATCGGAATTCCTGAATTTATTAATGTAATTTGCAACGGTGTAGAGCCAAATTTCGGTCGTAGCCGGACGTTCAATTGGGGATTTTAGGCGAATTTCGACCGTATTTATTTTTTATGGAGAGAGGTGTGCTTCAATCATCGGCAATTAGCGGCGTAAATGATTCAAGCTGCAATCGGTGATTATCTTTACGGTAGGGAACTGTTTACTGTTGTCCACGTCGATGCATTTGAACAGTCAATCTTCTCCGAGGGGGCAGGTGAATAGGAGAGGGGCCTTTTACGAGACACGGACATTTAATACAGCCGGCAATAAATCCGTCGGTATTTTTTAGCGATCGGGATGCCGTTTCCACGTCTCCGGGCTCGATCCCGGTGCTTAAAGCCGCCTATAAACGCGACGCGATGCACCGATAGAAACCAGTCATGCCCGACTCGATAGACATCCCGGGATAATATTCCCCCCCGATATTCCGCACTATTTTGAAAAAAGTCCGATGCAAACGCGACTATTCGTGCCCCGCGACTCACATACGCCGGTAATAAAGAATGGAATGCTCCGCGCTGCGGTCTAAATAAATAACTCGGTAAAGTGAAGCCGCAACGGGAAAATGAAATTTTTGTTAAGTAATACTAATATGTAGGTGATAAATTACGTGCTGATAAAGCGCACCAACACTCCGTTCTAGGCCCTTTCTGCGGTATCATTTAAAGATTGTTAAGAAAGATGTTAACGATCGAAACAAAGATCCGTTTTACCGATGCACTAATATATACAACGATGCAAAAGCATATACATGTATACATATATATAAATATGGGAACATGACATTTCTGTAAAATAATGTAAATCAATTGTGTTGATAAGGCGCGTCAATACTCCGTTTTCAGTCCTTTCTGCGGTATCATTTAAGGGTTGTTGAGGAAGAAACCGTTGATAAGGATCGAACCAAAGATCTGATTGGTCGATATCCAAATTGGATCGCATCCGATGACTGGTATCACCGAGGTGGCCGGTATCATCGGCGTATGCAGTTAACACCCGTTATGTGTTACGCGAGATGATTAAACCGCCATCACTGGCCGCCCTCTCATTATCACCGGCCGATTTCGCGCCCCCCTCTTGCATAATGCATAACGAAGTGAAAACACGTGGAAGCCGCGTATATAACGGCCGTAACGTCGCTAACGTGGCAAAATGGCTGCAAATTTGCGGGAGCCCACGCGGGATGCATAACAACTAGGTCGGGATGAGCGAAGAGGCGTGAAATAGTGCATTAAGCGAGATCACCAGGGATTACAAAGGTTGACGCGCCTGATAGCGCGGTTGGGAGGAATTTGATAAGGGGAAAGAAAAAAAAAAGGAAAAGGGGGAAAGAGGTAGGACAGCGGCTGAAATTTATGCCGACGGTGTGGTTACGACGTGTCGATCGATGCGTGTGCCAAACAGGAAGCTCGGCGTCGGGAATAAACTTTTTAACGCGTTATTTTTATCACTACTTTCAAAATTCGCGAGCGTGGAAATATGTCCAAGAAGATGCGCGCTGAATTCGAGGAAGGGGAGAGATATGCCACTTGAGTAATGAATATTTCACAGGGAAGCGTTTTACGTGCAGACGCAAACTGGAGAACAGGGGAGATAGTTATCTACCGGGATTTTATTTAACAGTTTTTAGTTTCCATGATTTGATAGTATACCATTTTTAGTAATCATTAGTATGATTGCTTGTTAAATTCTTCATTCTCCTGAGAATAACTGCGCAAGTGTGAATGGCTTAGCAGATGCAGATTGGAGAACAGGGGGATGTTGGTTTTAATTATTTTCGTCAGACTTTAAAAATTCTTGACAATTAAACAATGTTTCTGGAAGTGGGATGTCAGGCATAGGAAGATACGTATCTGGGGGTTAAATTGTCTACAATTTTGGGAAGCTTTACGTGTTAATGGAAAATGGAGAACGTTGGAGAACGCTTTTTACGGAATTCCGGTGTTGGTATTTTTATCTTCCTCGTTTCGGCAATATATGATTTTTATTTTTTAGAAGGTTTAAGAATGATGGCCCCGGGACGCCGTTTCCGGCTTCGGTGAGCAAATTCGAGGAGAAATAAAAAGGTACTCACCGCAGGAACTCCGTGCAAGTTGCATGCAGCTTATAAAAGAAAATCCCGGCGTCTTCGCAGCTCGTCCGCCCCGAGACGTCCTGAAAAAGTAAAAGCGATGCGAAATTCATTTTACGCTCGTCCAATGGCGTCAACGAGATCGAAACGGCGTCTCGAAATTAATTCGACGGCCGTCTCCACTTTGACGCGATCGAATGAAGGAACCGTAATAAGACGCCAGAAGGAATAAAGAAGTATTAAGGCCCCGAACTTTGTTGCGCCCTCAGAAAGTAGGAATTTACCCCAACAGGTCTTTAAAGTTTAAAAGCTCAAAATCGTAAGACCTAACAAAAAATATTAAGTTACAAAGTTCCATCGCAATTACTTTGAAGTCAAATTGCACTATCTAAAAGTGTAAAGGCCTCTCGATAGCATCGACTGAAAAAAATGAGATCATGCATGGATTGATCTTCGTTATTAAAATGAAGAATGTTTGGAATTTGTTTAAAGGAATGGATTAGTGGGACGAGAGAGAGAATCCGAAATATTTACACTGTTCGGTTTCTGAAGGCCTTCTGATATGACTAAATGAGGTCGGACGTGACCATCTTTATTTCGTTACCGACGTGAACCGAAGAATGTTTAAAGATTGCTAAAAAGTATGCATTAATACCACAAAAAGATAAACGTGAAATGTTAATACGGTGTCTGATTGTTGAAGGCCTTAGACCGGATATAGAGAAATGAGATCAAACGTCGCTTGATCTCCGTTTTATTATCGAAGTTAACCCAAATATGTTCTGAATTTGTTGATAAAATATGCATTAATACGACGAGAAAAAATGTGAAATATTTACACGGGGTCGGATGTCGGTTTGCATGTACCTCACGTTAACCGCTTCTGGTTTGGGCACTTCAAGGCTTCGTTTAACGAGCCTGGGAAAGGCGCTGATGCGACAGTATATTGTCTCCCCTTAACATCTCACTGTTAAAGATAATGACACGTAGCAGCCCCAGTACGTGTCGCTCTTCGAGGTAACGCGCCGAAATGCCGAGGTACTTTATGTGATAAGCGATAAGCCCGAGGCGAGAAGGGAACATCCTCGGTAATGCCTCGAGCTTCCATTAGTCCTTTTTGACAAGCAATCCGTTATTCCCGATCGACGCATAAGTCATTTGTAAAAAAGAAACGAACCCTGCAAGACGAGTTAAAACGAAAATGTCGGCCCAAAGTGTGTCTCTCCCCTTGATTAAAAAATGTGTAACAACCCTCACACCTCGAGTCTTCGATAATTTCAAAAAAATATGGAATTATCTAAGAAACGATACCGACAATTATCAAGAAAAGAATGACCAGGGTGAGTTAAAACGAAATGTCAACCCAGAAAGCCTGTCCCTTAAAATGAGGATATTAAAAATCCGCCTATACACCCTTACTCTCGGAGAGTAAAAAATCGATCAGAGTTATTTAGGAGCTTACACGTAAAATCGTGCCATTTAAATTGTATAAATAATTAATGCTACACGGAATGAAACGTATATTTATATAACTGTCTTCTGGATCATCTTTTCGTGCCATTTCTCTCGGGTTGACAGTTTTTAAAACCGGTCCCGGAAGTTTCCTGGACTTTTATTTTCGATCTTGACATTAGCATCGAGACACTTTCGGGTGCATATGGCGGCTCTGTGTAGAAGGCACACCTATACGAAAATCGTAACCCTCGACACAATGAGGAAGAAACTCGGAGGGATGACAAATTGTCGGGCGTCCGGTTTGACAGGTTACATCCATTTGCGGTTAGTATCGCTTAATCGTACCAGCGACATCGGGGGCCTTTGTCGCCCCTCTAGAAGCTGTGCATTAAGTGGCGTACTTCGGCGTTACTTTCCGCCTGCTGACTTTATTTTCGCCTCCCCGACGCCCGACTCGACCGGTCGTTAAAGTCTCCGGTTTTTTCGCGCGGCCCGCGAGAGTTGCTCCAGAAACGGGACGCTGCCAATATGGGCATTGTGTCCTGTATGCAAATGATTTCACGAGGAAAGACGTCGGCTAAAGTTCTCGACAGTCGAAAATTGGTTCACGTATTATCTGCTCCAGATTTATGCAGATAAATACCCGACACGACGCTCAAATAACATTGGCAATACCAAACTTGCCTGGTAAAGTCTTGTTGAATTTCACTCAATGAATACAATTTTTCCTTCGCTTTTTAAATACCATTTAAGTTCACTTAATATTATATATTTCATATCAAATTTCCTGGACATTCTGTTAATGGCCTATTTCGTGCACCTGTTCGGTTAAACAGGCGAGACGATTATGAGAGCTTTCACGCAATGTGTCGAATTTTCACGTTGCTTCTTAAATCTCACTTATTTTTATTTCGCTTTGTAAATTTCATAAAAATATGATGAAGCTCCTTGACATCCCGCCAAAATTCCGTTTCGGGGTTGCAGTACTTGCATATCTTTTCGATTAACTTGACCAAGCGATGATAAGCACAGTGAGCGGTTTTCGAGCTAAAGGAGCCGCCCTCGTTGCAGACCTCTTCTTTCGTTCCTTTCTTTTCGATTCTTTCACATCTCATTCTCAAAGAGTGACGTTATCGCGTATTCATCCGTAACGCCATGATTACCGACAGTGATCGCCATGTCCCCAATTTCAGGCCATTCTTTATATATCTCAGCATTTATTAACCGCTCGTTGCACCGAAAGTGCATTTTATTCCACGAATTGAACAGCTCCAACGCGAGGATGAGTAATTTTTTAGATTCCCTAAAAATAATTAAAAAAGAAAAAAAAGTTTCGTAACCTTTTCCACTTGGTAATTATTAAAAGGCCCAATAAATCATCCATCGTTGTAAGCTCTATCACGAAGTTAATGCTATAATTCGTAATTAAACGTTACGAGGGAAAACGAAGTCCCCTTCAGTGTCTATTGATAGAAACCTTTGACGAGGTGGTAATATTGATAAAAAGCATCCGAGCATGTTGACATATGTCTTTATCGCCATTTATCGGCGAGACTTCCGCGGTTAGAATAGTCGCCTCTTGTCAACTAAAGTAGGTATAGAAATCTGCGAGATGACGAGTTTCTCATAACCGCGATCCGAATATCCCGCGGTTTTGAATAACAACTCGGAAGCTAATCAAGACGGCGATCCACGTGAGTGTAAATTCTCGAGGTTAATAAATAATAATCGACTACCAGCTCGCTGAAAAGTCGATAATCGGCATTCTCCAGCGGATTATTCCCATTTAAGCTCGGGGACGCCTCGCGATGTCGGCTTTTACCGGCACGATCGTAATCCCGGGATTTAACCTTTAACAAATCAACGCGATTTTTCTCACATTGTCGCGCCGGAAAATCGCAGCAAATTAACTCCACCCGTCGAGGCTAAACGGGGATTAGAATATATCAAGATAGAAAGTGATAAAAAATGAAAATGCGTTTATAAACAAGATTAACGACGGAGCGAAAGATTACGTGGGTACTAATCGAAGGACTCGATATAATCGGCGGAAAATAAGAATCTAATATTGAAGGTTTTATCATTCCAGGGACTAATTACCAAAACTTCATAGAAAATTGACTTCAATCGATAGTTCAACAATTAATCTGAATATTGCCTAAGCCTCAAAATTTGCCGTTATATTTAAGAAATCCTCCAACGTGTAACCAATAAATTTCGGAATGTTCATAAATAATTCAAATTAATCTTATCACCGATCTCCAGTTGACAATTTATTTCGATCATTCTTGTAATTGCTTGGATTTTCTTGAGGACTGAAAAATTCCAGTTAAATATCATAAAATCCGCGTTTCTCCTGGGAATGTCAGACGTGCAGTTGCACATGCACATGCAGTTTCCGTGATCGACGCGTGGGCGGGTTCGCTACTTGCCAAAGCCGATCTTTTCAGTAGCAAAGATCATTAATACACGTCCCCGTGCGCAAACGGGCTTTCTCGAGTGACGATGGTTAATACGCGGGAACCTCTGAACCGGCCTGATTGAATATGTCACATGTCATTGACAATATTTATGGATGTGCGTGAGCGTTCGACCGCTTGCGGCTCGCCATGCATTATGGCCAGCCTATCGAAAAGCGACAGCGAAGGTAAATCAATGAACAGGTCGCTTGGCAATAACGATCGGGGTCTCACTGTCGAGACCCGGAAAAAAGTCTCATTAAACGATCTCCTGGCGCCTAGGCCAACACCCACCTATAATTAAGCGTGTAAACACCTTGCGTTGCAATGCAACGTGCCGTGCAGATGGCCGGAGCCTCGCACGCAAGTCACCGGAAAGAGGGAGAGAAACTGCGGAAAATTCGCATTCCAAATTGTAACAAGGTTTGAAGATTAAAAGGCAAATTAAAGAGACGGGACACCCCCGAAAGCAAAAAAAGGATCTTTTCTTTCCTCAACATCAAATACCCCGTGAATAAACAACTCCAGTAATTTCGCATTTCTATAGATTTCGTATTGGTTTTATTCCAAGGGTATTAACTTTGAATATCCTCTAAATAAATAATTTCAACAATTTCGGAGAAATTTTTGGAAAGCGATAGCAATTTGTTAAATGGAATGTCTATGGGGGAATCTCGTGGAGATATGGGAGATATGCTTGTCTCGAGAGAATTGAGGTTAAAGAGTTCATCTTGGATTTATCTTTAATACGTCAAATGGTGTTTAAGCACGAAATATGATGTGCATCATCGGTCCGGTTAACTCTGAAAGACGCTGAGAGATCAGAGGTGGATTTCTTCCCTCGGATTAGGCCCAGAAATAAATATGGTTTATTTAAGTGTTTGCATTCCAGGAATTTTCCTGGCGTAAAAGATCGAATGTCCGAGGGCGCCTAACACTCGACGGGGGGATGCAATAAAGCCACAAATTTCGAGATTAGTAAACGATTTCCCGGCGAGAAGGCGAGATTTGAAGAGCTTGCCGAGGGATTTGTTCTCCCTTTGAGCATTCCTCAGAGCTCGCCGGTATTTCCTCGAGCATCCTCGCCAAGATGGATACAGAAACAAAAGCGGAACCCGTTCCTAAACAAACGGATTCCTCGGCTACGTTCGAAAAGGAGATTCTGTTTG